CCTATCCCCCTTTTTAGATGTCATCCAAAGCGACGAAGTTCACGCCGCCGCCACCCGCGTCGCTCTCTCCGCCACATTGAAGATTCTCAAGCTCGGAATCTTCGACGAGAAGACTCCAGGAGCCAAAGACGCCATTAACACCGTCGTCACCGCCATCACCACCTGCCGGCTCGAACGGACCGACCCGGTCTCCGAGGATGCCGTGATGATGAATATTCTTCAGGTCTTGACCGGAATTATGAACCACCGAGCTTCGGTTCTGCTCACCGATCAGGCTGTCTGCACAATTGTGAACACTTGTTTTCAGGTGGTACAGCAATCGTCGAGCAGAGGAGACTTGCTTCAGCGATGTGCAAGGTACACGATGCACGAGTTGATCCAGATCATATTTTCGCGGTTGCCGGAAATCAATTTCAGGGACGGGGACAGTTCGGCAAGTACTGATACTGAAGATGCTGATGCTGATGAGGGGAATTTGGATTCTGGGTATGGGATTCGGTGTGCGGTTGACATTTTTCACTTTTTGTGTTCTTTGTTGAATGTGGTTCAGGTGGTTGAGACAGATCAGGGGTCGACTGTGCAAACTGCAGATGAGGATGTGCAGCTTTTTGCACTGGTTTTGATCAACTCCGCAATCGAATTGAGTGGGGATGGAATTGGGTCGCATTCGAAGCTGTTGAGGATGATGAAAGATGATCTCTTTCACCATTTGGTTCACTACGGAACGCGTTCGAGCCCACTTGTTTTTTCCATGATTTGCAGTACAGTTTTGAATATGTACCACTTTCTTCGCAGGTTGAAATTGTTTTAGGTTCATTTGGAGATGTTTTGGAAATTAAAGTTTCGTGTTATGCTTTTCCTCTTTTTAAAATTTGAGAATGATTTACTGCTCTTCTGCAGGTTCATTCGTGTCCAATTAGAAGCCTTCTTCACGTTTGTGCTGTTTAGAGTTGCAGGTCCTGGAGTCTCAATCCAACTTCAAGAGGTTGCACTTGAAGGGATTATAAATTTCTGCAGACAACTGACATTCGTAGTGGAGGTCTACGTGAACTATGATTGTGATCCCCTTTGCCATAATGTGTTTGAGGAGATTGGGAAGTTGCTTTGCAAGCAGTCATTTCCAGTGTCTAACCCTTTGACAACTATACAGATACAAGCCTTTGAAGGGCTAGTTATCATGATTCACAACATTGCAGAGAGTATTGATAGAGAACATGATACAAGCCCTTCTGGACCATACCCAATTGAGATTACAGAGTATGCACCCTTTTGGGAAGACAAACCCAAAGATGATTCAGAAGCTTGGGTGCAATTTGTAAGGGTGAGGAAAGCACAGAAGAGGAAGATATTGATTGCTGGACACCATTTTAATCGATATGAAAACAAGGGAATGGAGTACTTGAAGCTCTACAACTTAGTCTCTGACCCTCCAGATCCAAAGACATTGGCTTTCTTCTTCCGGTACACTCCTGGACTAGACAAGACAATGATAGGGGATTATCTTGGTGATCCTGATGAGTTTCACATTAAAGTACTTGAAGAATTCACAGGAACCTTTGGATTTGCAGGCATGAATCTTGACAGTGCTCTCCGTACTTATCTGGAGACTTTCCGTTTGCCAGGAGAGTCCCAGAAGATTCAGAGGATTCTTGAAGCATTTTCGGAGAGTTTTTATGAGCAACAGCCAGCAGATCTTTTCGTGAACAAAGATACAGTATTCATTCTTTGCTACTCTCTCATTATGCTCAATACTGATCAGCACAATCCACAAGTGAAGAAGAAGATGACAGAAGAAGAGTTCATCAGGAACAATAGAGCAATCAATGGAGGGAAGGATCTTCCTAGAGAGTATCTATCTGAGCTTTTCCAGTCCATATCAAACAATGCAATCACCCTTTTTGGTCAATCGGGTCTGCCAGTAATAATGAACCCAAGCAGATGGATTGAGTTGATGAACCGATCCAAAACTGTGCAGCCTTTCATTCTATGTGATTTTGATCGCCGGTTGGGGAGAGACATGTTTGCTTGCATCGCTGGCCCATCAGTCGCAGCTATTTCTGCATTTTTTGAGCAAGCTGAAGAAGAGGAGTTGCTCCATGAATGCATTGAAGGGTTATTCTCAGTAGCCAGGATAGCTCAATATGGACTGGAGGACACTCTTGATGAGCTCATTGCCACCTTCTCCAGATTCACCACACTGTTGAATCCTTATGCCTCTGCAGAAGAAACACTCTTTGCTTTTGGCAAAGATTTGAAGCCAAGAATGGCTACCCTTGCTGTTTTCACCATCGCAAACAATTTTGGAGAGTCAATTAGAGGGGGTTGGAGGAACATTGTGGACTGCTTGTTGAAACTCAAGAGGCTTAAGCTACTTCCCCAGAGTGTCATTGATCATGATGCTGCTTCCACCTCATCATCTGATGCCCAAGCTACATCTGAATCGGGTATAATCTTTCCTGCTCATGATCCCAAATTTGGAGGACGCCGTGCTTCTGGCATGATTAGTCGGTTCTCACATTTTCTATCGCTAGAGAATCCAGAAGATGCTGTATCCCTTGGCATGAGTGAATTTGAACAGAATCTGAAGGTCATCAAACAATGCCGAATTGGGAACATCTTTAGCACTAGCTCACACTTTCCTGAAGATTCTTTGCTCAATCTTGGGCGTTCGTTGATATATGCAGCTGCTGGGAAAGGCCAAAAGTTTAGTACACCAATTGAAGAAGAAGAAACTGTTGGGTTCTGCTGGGATTTGATAGTTGTCATTGCTTTGGCCAATGTCCACAGGTTCCAGGCATTTTGGCCTAACTTTCATGATTATCTGCTGGCGGTTGCTCAATTTCCCATGTTCTCCCCAATCCCATTTGCAGAAAAGGCCATTGTAGGCCTCTTCAAGGTCTGTCTCAAGCTCCTTGGGACATACCGACCTGACAGAGTCCCTGAGGAGCTCATTTTCAAGTCAATAAATCTAATGTGGAAGCTGGAAAAGGAAATTCTTGACACCTGCGGTGAGCTCATAACACAATCAGTAAACAAGATTCTCATTGAGTACCCTGCCAATTTGCAAACCCAACTTGGATGGAAGTCAGTTCTCCACTTGTTATCCATCTCTGGACGACACCAGGATACCTATGAACAGGGAGTTGAAACTCTGATCATGGTGATGTCTGATGGAACCCATGTTTCGCGGACAAATTATGCTTACTGCATTGACTGTGCCTTTGGTTTTATTGCACTCAAGAACAGTCCGTCAGAGAAGAACTTGAAGATATTGGACCTGTTGTCAGATTCTGTAAACTTGTTGATCCAGTGGTACAGAAATCAATACTCAGATCCTGGGAACAATTATAGTGTGGCGAGCAACACAAGTAACTCCTCTTTAGAGGATTCAAAAGGTTTTGGCTCTAATAACTTTGCCATGAACTTATTTGTCAAACTAGGGGAGGCATTTAGAAAGACCAGCTTAGCCCGGAGAGAAGATATAAGAAACCATGCAGTCTTGTCTCTTCAAAAAAGTTTCAAACTGGCTGAGGAGTTGGAATTCACTCCAACCAATTGTATTAACTCTTTCAACCTCGTTATTTTTGCGATGGTTGATGATTTACATGAGAAGATGTTGGAATATTCACGAAGAGAGAGCGCAGAGAAGGAGATGAGAAGTATGGAAGGGACCTTAAAGATTGCACTGGAGCTCTTGGCAGATGTGTACTTGCAGTTCTTGATACCGATATCGCAATGTAGTGGGTTTCGGACATTTTGGTTGGGTGTGTTGAGAAGAATGGACACATGTATGAAGGCTGATTTGGGTGCATATGGTGAATCAACACTGCCAGAACTAATCCCAGACTTGTTGAGAAAGATGATCACTGAGATGAAGGAGAAGGAGATTTTAGTGCAGAAGGAAGATGATGACCTTTGGGATATTACCCATATCCAGATACAGTGGATAGCTCCTTCAATCAAGGAGGAGCTATTTCCGGAAGAAAGTTCGTAAAGCATATGAATGAAAAAGGGTAGTTGGTTTAGTTTGGACAAAAGAAAAGCACAAACAGCACAAAGTGAAGAGCAAGCTTTCTTCTTTTTTTTTTCTTTTTTTTTTCTTTTTTTTTTCTTTTTTTTTTGACCCTTTTCAAAATTTTGCTTCATACAATTTCTTTTAGAAGAATGTAAAGTGACAATAATTTTATTCCAAGTGTACAATACTTTTGACTAGATAAATTTGATCTTCAAGTAAACTGTAAACATAGTTCTTCTGTACAATTTAGATTTGCGAACATCTCTCTCTCTCTCTCTCTCTCTCTCTCTCTCTCCCTCTCTCTCTCTCATATCATTTCACCCACCATGAACTCACAAGCTCTCCCAAGCGAGATTAGAAAAAACAGAATCATGATGTCTCATTCACGGGAATTATGAAGCCTTGTCCTTTATCCTAACTACCTTCTAATTCTTTAACCTCATAATCATTTCCTGAATGCCATTTCCGATCTTTTTCTCAAAAGAAACAAGCAACAATGTATGTACTAGGTAACCCCTATGGCTTGAACAAAAATATAGGTCCCCGGCAGTGATAATTTCCGTTGACATATTGACAAGTACTATACATATATTATGACCAAATTATTCTGAAAAACAAAGAAGTCCAATATATGCACCAAAAAGAAAAAGAAAAAGAAAAAAAAAAGGGAAACTCAAGGAAAAGGGTTGAATTAGTGTTAAGTTGTTAAACATGGTAAAGCACCAGGATTCTGTAGATACCACCATAATTGATATATAGCTTTAAAATATATCCCAAAGAATCAAAAAGCTCCTCATGGAATTGGTGACCATGATTTAATCATTCTTAACAAAACCCTTTTCAATCATGAATTAGTAGAATGCAAGCAACCAAAACTCTAGTTAATCTTAACCGTGAGCCCCCCCTCACATATTTACAAGAATCCATATATCTACATAGTTTCTCACTCTCTTAATGATCTCTATGCTTTGCTGCTCTAACCACAATGTCAAGAAGAACAGCACCAGTCCTCGACTCGCTCAATTCTATGAGCACCACCCAGATTTTCAGAGAATCCATCAGAGTTATACTTCTCCACCCAACCCATTTCCACTCCATCTCCATCTTCCTCTTTTCCCCTCTGCCAGCCTCCCTCTTCATCTCACACTTTCTTCTTCACCATTTCCCCCAAATACCTTCCTCAACAATCAAAATCACAGATCATATACTTGCACATCCCCTGCCCAAACTACTATCAAAAACCATTGTTCACTTTGTTCTCTGCTTCCCTTCATCTATCACCTTCTCACTTCTTGGAAGAGCTGCTACTATTCAAGCAGTTTCAGACAGTTACAATGGAATAAACCTTGACAGAAGAAGGTTACTCGTGAGAAGTGGGCTCAATTGGATCAAGCTTCTGAACACAGGTCTTTGTGAACTTATCATTGTACTTGGGCTCCTTGGAGTTTTGGTTGCGAGCCTAGCAGTTGTACCAAAGATACTATTTGCATGGGGTGTCTGCTCAGAGGTCTTAGGATTCTGGGGTGTCCTTGGGTTTCTAGGGGTACCCTTTTGTGTGGCGTTTGCGCATGTTATGGTTGTGGGGAACCTAGCTAGGGTTTTATCAGTGCTGGAGGGTGAGTGTTGTGGATTTGAGACACTGATAAAGGCCAAGAGACTCATGGAAAGAAAGCGAAAAACAGCTTTGGTTATGGCTTTGTTGAGTAACGTGGGCTTTAGGCTAGTTGAATGTTTGTTCGACTTTAGGATGAGCAAGGGGATCAATTTCTGGGAAGGTCCCCTGCTGGTTTCCATGTACTCTTTGCTACTTGTTTTCGACACCGTCATGAATGTTGTATTCTATTATGCTTGTAAGCTTTGACGTTTGAGCATTTATTTATTTAGCCTTTTTTTTTTTTTTTTTTGGTTTTTTCTCTCTGGATTGGGTGCATGGAAATTGTAGAAGGAGCTTGGCTCAAAGTAATGGGGTTAGGCCAAATGAGGCAAAGGAGCAAGAAGCAAGACCATGGCGATACAGATTTCAGGGTGGAGAAGAAGCCAAATTAATATACCTTTTTTCCCAAATTTTTCATTTCTGCTTTTTAAAACTGAAGCCAATTCAGGGTGGATCAAGAAGCAAGATCGTGGCAATACAGAATTCAATAAAATAAACAATGCTTTGCAACTTCGGAAACCCAATCGTGTTCCTAAAGGACTGCAGGAAAGATAACAGCCGATGATACAGTAACAGAGATGAATATGTTGCATGTTAATCAAAAGCCTTCATTCTCGTCAAATTACATATAAAGTCTATATTTTGGCCAACAGTTATATATAAGATAAAACTTCCCAAAAAGAATTCGCAATGTAAGCAAAGCCAGCAGATGTTCCTCCCCAGAGCAGAGGAGAAAGCAACTTCAGATGCCACCATCCTTCAAAATAAAAACAAGTCCTGAGACAATAAATTAGGACAAAGAAACTCCATTATTTAAGAACATTTTAATATCTGATAACAATAAAATTCAACCTTGAAGAGTACATTAACAATATCTTGTTCTACAGAACATAAACAAAGAACTGATACAAAAGCACTCTAGATCCGTCCGCAACTAGAAACAATAAAGATGTACACCAAAGCAAGTAGTATTTGCTAGAAACAATGGAAATCTGTTATATACATGAACAAAGCAACAGAACCGAGGGAGGTTTTTCTAGCCAATCCAGACTCCCCTGGGTTACTCCTCAGGGATTTGTGAAACGTTCACAATGTTGGTTGATGCTGAGACTTTGCAAGTCATTATGCTCCAACAGAATTGGATCTTCTCAAATTATCTAAACCATAAGGTGAGCAAGTTCTACTGTCTGACAGTCTAAAGCCTTTACTCTGAAAATGTTCCCAGATGACTTCAACTAAGTTGTGTACTGTCCTTATACCCAAGACTGTTTTGCATTTAGTATTTTCATAAAACCACTATCTTTTTTTTCCTTATTCAATCAATTCAAATGGTCGGTCACTACAATTGCTCTTTAAATAAAATGCATCTCATACATAACTTGCGTCACAAACATGCAACTCCATACCCATGAAAGTCACTGTTTGTGGGATTCTTAGTTTTGGAGTAAGGGAGAGAGATCAACATCTGAATAACATTAACACCAAATCTTTAATGCATTTCATGAAATCAAATGCTTTCCAAAACAGTTCTACTCAGTCAATGGAACAAATAGAAGTGAGTGTCAACAAAGGAATAAAACCAATGCATTAATTCGTTTTGAGCAAGCAATACAACATTACACATTTATGACCAGACTTAGGATATCTTAATACAATAATGCCTATGAGCAGACTTACGATATTTTAATACAATAATGCCTCAGAAATTATACTAAAACAAACAAAACCTCCAAATTTAATGCAATTGTGGCAAGCAATTCAGTATGCCAAAGTAAAGACAAATACCATACAGACCCTCACCCGCATCATTCACTGAGATCCTCAGCAGAAACATCCGTTTCATCATCATCGTCAGCTTCCTGAATTTTCGCAATCTCCACTTGTGCTCTCTCAAGAATCTGCTTCTTCTGAAATTCCAACTCCTTGTGGAAATCTTTCCTCATCTTCTCCAATTCCCTCATCTGCTGCCTCTTACTACTCTCAATCTTCTCATAAATCTCCCCAAACTTGTGAATAGAATCCGCCAACACTCTATACGAAGACCCTTCCTCCCCCCTATCCCCTCCACGCGTCCCCATTCGTGGCGGAAAGGCATCCTGATCATCATTCCCATCCTCATCATCATCTGTCTCTGACTCACCAGGACTATCCCTCATCTCATCAAACCCATTTGACCGCTCCAAATATACCCTTGTGTTCATAAACACATACTCGCCAGAATCTACCCCGCAAGCAAGCCCGCATTCTTGCCTCAAGGATGAAGCCATCAACATATCCATCTTCTTAAAGTAAGCCCATTTGCTAGAATTCAACCCCATTTCTTCGACTTTCTCCTTCTCCTTCTTGTACTTCCTCTTAAGCATATCCAACATACTCCTGCATTGCGTGTCAGTCCTTTCGATCTTAGACGCCTCTGAAACCTTCTCGGCCACTTCACGCCAATCTTCAGACCTCAAACTCTTCCTCCCAAGCTGAAGAAACCTATCACCCCAAACCTCTAACAGAACAAACACCGCGTGCTCAGTCCAATCCTCTTCGCCCCGAGAACTCGGATCCCTATACGGCACTCTCACGCGAGGCGCAAACTCGTAGTTTGATTCCAAATTCTTCACCTTCCTCTTCTTCGTGTGCCTTTCAAAACCATCGTCCGCGTCAAAATTCCGATGTAACCCACGTGGATGCTCCTCTTCCTCTTCCTCGTCGTGGTCTTGTCGGCCATTTCCTTCATCAAACTCGTCCAATTCATCGTCGTCTTCCTCTGCGTATCGATTGGCAATCGGGCGAGAATATTGGGTGTTTCGTATATTGATTTTTCGGCGACCAGAAGAGTTGTGATGGTTGAGAGAGTAGGCTTTCGAATGGTACCTTGCGTCGTCGTCCATGTCGTCCATTTGAGCGCAAAATCGAAAACTTTACAGCAGGAAGAACCCTAATAACCAATTAACGTAAAACCCCAAATCAATCTAACAATGAACATACAAATTGGGGTCTTTGTTTGAGAAATTGAAAATTTGTGTAACTGTTCTGTTTCTGAAGAATCCAAACGGAGAATTATGAGACATTAGAGGGAATGAGCTGAACTCCAAGAGCTGAACGAAACCCTAATTTGGTTGGTGGCTTAGATTCAATTCAAAAGGCTTCGGGTCACGGGTTGCCGAAACGGGTTCGTAAAAAAAAACGATAAGATGAAATAAAATGGACGGGAATATTGGTTTGGGCCGAATGGTTACGGGTCTCCCGCTGCTAAAAATGGGTTACCCGGCCCAATGAATAGTCCAGCGATTACTTGAATTTGAGAACTCGTATCTATAAAAATTATCAGATATGAACAATCAAAATGCATGAAATGTCAAAAGGTCTGGGGTTTGCTCAGGCTCTGGGTGCGGGGTAGCCTCTCTTTTTCCTAAACTTTCTGTTATAAAAAAATATGCATGAAATGTCTTGTAACAAAAAAATTGCATGAAATGCCCATCAACTAGCGATTTGGATTGTAATCTTTAACATTATGTTTTTTTCATACAAGTGATATTAACGATGGGGAATTCGAACACAAACACCTTAAAATGTATGACAAATGCTCTTATATTACATGAGTTATGAGACTCCACTTCATCAATTTAGTCTAACTAAACAATCGGTTTCTATTTGGATTATGGGTTTACCTCTGTCAACCAAACTATATATCTAATAGTTCTATCCTGTCCGCGTAGTAAAACACATTGGTTGTCGATGTTGTGACATTTATTCTGTGCAACTAATTATCCTAACCTGCCTTTCCTTCTTTGAAATGAATTGGTTGGTCAATCTCATCTTCCTATTTCCTGTTTTATATTTAACGATTAATTAATTGGGGTGCCCAAGTATTAATTGGTTATCAAGAAAGAGAAGAAGACAAGGACTGAGAGAGAGGGAGAATAATTTTTGGATGGGGGAGATGGAGAAGGTAGCTAGGGTTTTTTTTTTTTTTTTTTTTTTTTTTTTTGGGGGTCAAATGTAGATAAGGTTTGTAGTCAAAAGGAGATATGGGATTCAATTAATAAAAGTTGAAAATTTGGGGTGGGGACCGTGAAATATGAAGTTGTTCTTCCCTCCCAGAAGTCACGTGGGGGTCCCGTGATTAATATGAATGCAAAAATAAGCCAATCACGTAAGGGAGCATGGAATCGAGCTGGACTGGCTGCACTGTGACCGACTCACTGTGTGTGTTGTAAAAGCTAAAGGTAAAGAGAGACTACGTACTGTCCCAACTTCCAACTATCATCAACATGTTATCATAGAGAATAGATAGAAAGAGTAGAGATGATTGAATTAATTTGTATAAGCTTTTCTGCGCTCGGCCCTATATAAACACTAGCTGCTCTATCTATCACTATCAAACATTTTAGTAGCTAGCTAGCTATGGGAATTTCGATAGTGAGGGTGGGGAAGGTACTTTTGTGGGTGGCTGTGGTGATAATGAGTTTCATCTCTGACTCATGCGTACAAGGAATAAGGAAGATGGAGATGCAGATCAAGAAGAATAAGGGTGGTGAAGGTGATGATCATGGCAACAACAAATTAGGGAAAAAGGAGCCAGAGTGGTTCTTTGATGGTCCTGCTGCAGGCAATCCCAATGTTCCTGGTGGGGTTAGTGGCGGTGGTGGTTTTGGAGGAGAGGGGAAAGGGTTTGGTTTTAGTTTTGGCGGGAAGGGATCCTATAGTTACAGCTATGGTACTTCTGGGAAACCTGCCAATGCAATTGGTTTTGGAAAGCCTGACTGTGTTGGAAAAGGTGGCGGAGCTGGTGGTGGGATAGGCAAAGGTGGAGGAGCTGGTGGTGGGATAGGAAAAGGTGGCGGAGCTGGTGGTGGGATAGGCAAAGGTGGAGGAGCTGGTGGTGGGATAGGAAAAGGTGGAGGAGCTGGTGGTGGGATAGGCAAAGGTGGAGGGTCTGGTGGTGGAAGCCACCATAAGACTAAAATAGAGAAGAAGCACCATCAAGGTGGTGCTGGAGGTGGAATTGGGGGAGGCATCGGCAAAGGAATTGGTGGTGGAGGTCATGGTGCGGAAGGAGCTGGTCATGGAGGCATTGGCAAAGGAGGGGGTGTTGGTGGCGGCATCGGCAAAGGAGGGGGTGTCGGTGGCAGAGAAGGGGATGCCGGAGGAGGTGTTGGTGGCGGAGGAGCGGGTACCGGAGGCGGTGTTGGTGGAGGAATTGGTGGTGGTGCAGGGGGTGGCATCGGTGGTGGTGCAGGAGGCGGCATAGGTGGTGGTGGTGCAGGGGGTGGCATGGGTGGTGGTGGTGGTGGTGGTGGCGGTGGCGGCATGGGTGGTGGTGGAGGTTTTGGTGGTGGTGGTGGAGGTTTTGGTGGTGGTAGTGGAGGTTTTGTTGGTGGTGGTGGTGGTGGTGGTGGTGGAGTTGGGGGCGGATTTGGTGGTGGTGGTGGTGGAGGATTTGGTGGCGGTGCTGGTGGAGGATTTGGTGGCGGGGGGGGTGGGGGTGGGGGGGAGGTTTTGGTGGGGGTGCTGGTGGAGGATTTGGTGGCGGTGCTGGTGGTGTTGGAGGTGGAGGAGGAGGAGGATTCGGGGGCGGTGGCCGTGGCGGTATTGGTGGAGGCATTATTAATAATGGACATGCATAATGTTTAATTAGAGACATCGGTGCTGAATTTGGTAATGTTAGCGGTGACAATTATTCAACCATGCATAAGAGTAAGAGTAAGAGCTCGTGAGTTGAAGGTGCTGCTACCTTCGTTCTTATATTATATATGTAGCATCGCCATGCTTCTAATTTTCATTTCATTCTGAAGAAGAAGAGCCAATAATTATTCTACTACTCAATCATATAAATTAAATTTCATAATTTACTTCTTATAAATAGGAAGCCAATGGTAAATATTAATAGCTGAGGGGGCAAATTTTCGATCCATTTTAATTAAATAAATCCACAATCTTTGATTGATGGAGCTAATTTTTCAATTAATCCTTGTAAAACCATGTTGCCATAGTTTACCAAAACAAACAAATAAAAAGTTGCAGTCCACAAAATAAGACAAGCATATATAGAAATATAATATGTTGTCTTCGTCTTCCTATAATTAAATAAATAATAAATTTGCTGTTTGGTGCATTTTAATTAAGATTCAATTGCTGTCACCGCAGAAAATTTGTAAAGGAAAAAACCATTATTCAGTGAATTTGAAGTAATTATAATTATAATCCTCTCTTTCTTTGATAATCTTATAATTAAAATCATTAATTTTGAACCCTTTTGACAAAATGAAAAACCAAAAACCCTCTCCCCTCTTTCTGTCCAAGGGTGAAGGAGGCTGCACAAGAAATATATCCTCCGGTGTCTCTTTCAGTCAAGAATTCATTCATCAATCCAGCTCGTTGTTCTTAAATTCGTGGGGTGCGGTGATCAGTATCATAAATAGATATGGGTTCCGATATCAAATCCAACTTCCACACGGTGAGCTTTGCAGCTCCAAGAGGGTTTGCAACGACATTCAAATCTGACCTCAAGGAAACCTTTTTCCCTGACGATCCATTCAAGCAATTCAAGAAGGAGAAACCGCTTGGCCGTGTCAAGAAAGCCTTCCAATATTTCATTCCCATCTTTGAATGGCTTCCCAAATATAGTTTGCGCATGTTCCAGTTTGATTTACTTGCTGGTATATCACCATCACTAGCCTTGCCGACATTCCTCAAGGAATTATCCTGTCATCGGCCTCTGTAAGCAGCCGGTCCCATGTATCCATCATGCATGCTTATAAACCCCACACATGCATGTTGGACGTCATGTTACATAAGAAGTTTTTTTTCATTAAACATGTGTGTAATTAGGTTAGTAGTTGGTTATTTTTAATTTAAAGAACACAAATTATTATTTAAATTTGGCGATTGTGATTCCATGCACAGATTCGTGCGTTGTTCCATCTATTGTTTATGCGATTTTCGGAGACTCGAAGCATGTTGCTGTGGGCACGTTGGGTACAAGCTCATTGCTTATTGCCGAAACCATTAACAAAGTTGCATCTCCAGAGGCTCAGCCCGCATTGTACCTTCACTTGATTTTTACGGTCACCTTTGTCACCGGAATCTTTCAAGCAGCTCTAGGTCTAAGGTGATCGATCGAAGAATAGGCTCTCGCAATTAATATTTGAAAGAAATAATTGTTATGTGAAAACAGCATAAACTAATTAAACCCAATTAAGAAAACACAAAGGTTAACTCCAAACCTTTTTATTGGATTGGATTGTCAGTCAATATTACAAAATTAAAATTATACTGGAGTTGGAATATTCATTAATTAAATTGATGAGTTAATATATATTTGCGCAGAATGGGGATTTTGGTGGATTTCTTATCACATTACACGATCACTGGCTTCATGGGAGGGACTGCAACTATAATATATGCTTGCAACAGTTTAAGGGTTTTTTTGGTTTGACGCATTTTACGACCAAAACCGATGTCATATCTGTTATGCACGCACTCATCGAACACAGAGATGAGGTTTGTTTGTATTATAGATAAAAAAAAATCCACAAGAACAGGGTTTTTTTTTAGTACAAGCGATTGGGAAATGGAGTTTACACAACTATTCATTAGGTGCCTGGGATTTCGAACCTCCTCTGCCCGAGCTTTGCCCTACTGAAAAATGAACAAATTGATGGGAATAAGGAAATGATAGCTTTTGGCCTCATGAACCTCGCTGGATCTTTCACTTCTTGCTACTTGACCATTGGTATAAATTATATAGTCCAATTATCCAAGCAATAATAGTACTTGTAGGTATACGTACCACATTTTTGTATCAATTTTTCATAAAATTTGCAGGAACATTTTCGAAAACTGCAGTGAATTACCATGCAGGATCTAAGACAGCAATGTCAAACATGGTGATGGCAATCTTTATGGCGCTCACGCTTTTGTTCTTGGCTCCTTTCTTTAGCTACACCCCTGTAGACAATGAAATTTTGGTGAATTAAATTCCACTAAATAAGAAAATAATTAGAGTTTGGTGAATTAAATTGTGGGCCCCATAATTCACCCAAGTCGCGTACGACTCATCAAATCGGATTTGTTGTCAAAAGTGACACGTGTTGACATCCAACGGAGTGCATCAAACGGTTCAAAATGAAGACAAAATTAAAGGAAAGAATTTTATGTAATTGACTTTGATTTAAATCAAATATTAATCAAGTCAATCAATCGAATATAATTTGGTTAAATTGCCAAATTATCGAAATTGATTTTAAATCAAATCAAAATCCCACAAAACAGAGTCCTAAACTTGTCAACCTTGAAGAGTTTGATGGCCTCTACATATATATATACATATATATATATATGGAGGCGGATCCGTGTCACCATATTTTTTGACACAAGTTTTGACACAATTTTTGGACCATTAGATTATTCCACTTTTAATGGATGAGATTAAATCTGACATAATTTTTTTACATAAAAAATAATTAAAGTATTTTTCTTTCTCTTCTCTCTATTTTCTCGGAAAGTTAAATTTCTATCACAAAAGCATTTTTTCTCTCTCCTCTTTCTCTTCCCTATCACATTTTCTGCTAACACTTTCTTTCATCAGACAAAAAGAAAAACGTGTTGATCTTTCTATCTTTCATTCATATTGTTGTTCATGTTTTTGAATTTTTGGGTTTTGGATTTAGGGATTGTAATCTTCTCTTTCAACCAAGATGAATGAGGACTAGATGTTGGCAATTTTATATTTGCTTTGTGTAGCTTCATTTATGAAACTCCAAACTTTGAACCAAGCCATTAAAAGCCTTAACACATAAGAATGCATCGCCCTGATCTTGTAAAAAGAAAAACTTGTAATTGGAGTTATGCGAATCAATTTTACCATCATTTCTCAAGCCTTAAAGGGAGTAGCGGTAAGGGAGTTTGTGCGAATTAGAAGGTAACCCAACTCAGCATTTTTTGTTAAAAAGACGAAAACCAATGAAAAATTGGGACTTTTCACCTAATATGCCGGATTTTTTTAGTTTGTCTGTTTCTTGCTTGCTGGGCCTGTTTTGTCTTCAGCTTTCTTTGTTTTTAGTCTGGCTGTGTTTCCTTTTTGATCTCCAGCGTTTGGAATGGAATTGTCTTCGACAAAAATGAAAATAGTACTACAGCAAACAAAAATCTTCACAATTATTGTACATTTCTTCGAGTCTCATTAGAAGATCAAGAGACAAAACTTCGAGCGGTTAAAGCAAAAAGAGAGAGAGAGAGAGAGAGAGAGAGAGAGAGGAGCAAGAAGGTTTTTGGGTCTGATGAAAGAGAGAGTTGGCAGATAACATGAAAGAGGAGAGAGGAAAATTACTTTGCTGAGAGAAATTTACTTTTTTGAGAAAATTGATAGATGAGAGAAAAATATTTTAAATAATTTATTTATGTCAAAAGGTTTAATCTCATCCATTAAAAGTGGAGTAATCTAATGGCCTAAAAATTGTGTCAAAACTTGTGTAAAAAAATATGATGCCACGTATCCACCCCTATATATATATATATATACATCTTTGCGTACAGTTTAAATAAGAAAAATATTAACGTCAGTCGAAGAGGTATATAACGCATTTTCAAACCTTGGGTGGAAAAGAAATTAAAGTAAGTTAGCTCTCGTGCCCATGACTAATATTATACTGAAATATCACATGAGATTCAACTCTTCGAATTAATAACTAAATAGGGTAAAACAAAAGGATATTTATGTTAGTTTACCATTAATTAATTAGGTGGGAATAATAAACCTGAGGATTAACGTAATGGAGAAGATGATAGCATCAAATTTCTTAGACAAGATTGGGAAGGATAACGTGTACTAGTCGATCGAGGATGCAGTTGAAGCAAGTCAATTTTCTCAACATAAATCGAAGCTAAATGGTGACTTATATTCACACTCAGATGTTATTGATTGTGTAGTTAATGGTACCTATTAATTGTAACTAAAGTTGGGCCTTATCTTTCTCTTTCATTGAAATTTATTCACACATGAAATAGTTTTCTATGAACCCAAAGTAAAATAAAATGAGAGAAGCCAACGAGGTATAGCCCAATGGAAAAGGACCTTCGGACCGGTAGTCTCAAGTTTAAACTCACATGACGCCTTGATGGTGAGTGTATGAAAAACCCTTCTTTTGTAGTTTAAATTATCGATTGTATTTGAATCATCGATTCTTCATTCGGGGCTCAAATGCACTTTGACATGACTGGACTCTTGTTATGAATCTGATTGAAGTAAATGTAACGTTATCATCATGGGCCCATGATAAAATAAAGTCCTTAAGTTATTAATATTCCTTTGTTAGCGGTTGCTTTTCATCTTCAAATAATTTATCCTTGATCATCTTCAAATAATCATCATGGATTATTATTCATGTATTTACTCTCTCTTTTTTAGTACAATTAATATTTTTGTATACAAAGGCATTTAGATATACACGACAGCTTGGATTGCCATTCGAAAGCAGAATTGGATTTGCTGACCAAAAAACGCAGTGTGAGTCAATATGGATATAATTAATTTATGGAAGGAAGAGATTCTATTTAGCGTAATCCGATTTGAAAACTGTATATATGGTTTGCTTTCCCAGTCATTTTGGTATATTTTTATTTTCCATACATGT